CATGCATTGAAAACGTCTTTAAAAAAAACCACAACAAAAAACCAAAACACCACAATTCAAAAACTCAAAAGACAAAAATAAAAATCAAAAAAACCCACCAGCCCCTGAAAACAAAACAAAACAAAAACATCCCTAGACTCCATACTTTCCCCACAGTTACAAACAAGAGACCTCAGGATAAGAAAGGATAGATGTAAGCAGCTCTGGCAGTCTACTCACAGTCAAATGTCTTTTTGCTAAACAGCAAAGCAAGCATAATGAATACTTTTGGCCCAAACCAACAAAATATTTAAGAATGTACTTGAGTATTTTCTTATGACAGCTATTTTCTTAAATCTAGCTTAATACTGTCAGGTTTTGCTAGCATTTTTTGAAAGTTTTCATTTTCTTTGAATTTCCTGCTGCGATTTTCAATGGAATTTAGATCATGAGAAATGTTTTCTATTTTAACAGTTATAATCGGAATCATTATTAACCAGGCAAGCCACTGCTGGCTCCCTTATTTCCCCCATCATTGTAATTTCCATCTTAGAGAAGGAATTCAGTTAAACATGAGAGATAGTTCTGTAACACAAGCTATAGACTACTACAAGAACAACCACCAGTTTACAATTTTTAATGCCTAGATAATTTTCAAACCTGCATGTCTGCATTTTCAAAACCAGAAAGTACCAGAGAGAGAGAGAGATTAACTAAGTAATGATTAAAAAAAAAAAAAGCTGTCACTGTCCACAGGAACCATGTCTAGTCACGTTTTCAGTCACGTTTTCAGTCAGTCAGTCAGCTAGCTGAGGGTCATGTCATTATTTAGTTTCTGTAGAAAAAACACAAGTACAAAAATAGTATCAAAAAGCAACATACCTATTTTTATTTTTTAAAAATATTATAAAATGTAATCATTACAACAGCATATAAATAAGGCTTTTAAATATACTTAGAAGAATATTAACATTTTATAAATGCTTCTCCATCTTTTAAAGAAGTACCTCTTTCTAAGCAGTGTGTGAAAGCCAGTAATTTTTCTATACTTTTGATCCAAAATACAGTTAACTTTTTTTATTCTGTAGTATATTTCAATTTCAATGATACAACTACTTTTTTTAAAAAAAACATTTTTGCACAGAAAAAAATCATTGTAAAATCCTGAAGTTTAACATTTATACTCAATAAAGTTTTAACTAAAACAATGAATGCAAATCAAATCAGTGATGCAGGACTTTTTCAGGACAAGGATAACAGATTACAACAATAACCAAGTATTTAATGAGAGAATAAATGTTTTTCACCTTCATAAGTAACTAAGTAATTATTTAAAAACACCACCAAACATTTTCAGAAGGGGAAAAATGCAATAGATCCATTTGCTGTGGGTTAAGGACAATCAGAAATAACTACTAAGAGCCACAGAATCCAGCCTTAGATATCTGGTTTGCATATCTACCGTAGTGCTAGATATGCAACTCCGTAGAAGCTCTGCTTTCTAAAGAGTACCTGAAAGCTTCATGAAAAGTGTTTGGGGTGGGTTATAGGTTTGGGGTTTTTTATTTGTTTGTGGGGCAGGACTGGGGGGGGGGGGG